GTCCCTATAGGGGCTAGAGGAAAAATGAGCCTTTTTACGTTCAAAAAGTTATCCCTAGGCTTTAAAATTAACTTGGACTGATAATCCTTTATCTAATTCTTCTCAGAAATCTTTAATTTTAAAAAAATCCTGGGAACTCATACGACACCTTGAAAATTCGTCACGATTCTCCACGAAAATGCCAAAAAAAAACCAATCTTTGGTCCCAAAAAATGACATTTCGGACTAAAAACCAAGGAAAAAGTTCAAAAATAGCCATTTTTACGGAAATTTCACCTGCCCCTCTGTTTTTAAGCGTTAGAATTTCAACTAGAAAACGGTAAAATTCAATAAAAATAGGCATAAGTCAAGTCACGAGGTTCATAAAAGGCTTGAAAAAAAAAAGATAAGTTCGTTGGAACAAGAGAAAAATTTAAATTTAAAAAAATCAAAAAGACAGAGATGTTAAATAACAAAACTAAGACAAGGTCCAAAACTATAAATGGGAAATTTTTTTAAATTCAAGCCAATAAAAAAAAATTTTTATTCACTATTTTTCCAAAAAGCATCAAGCTTGCAAGTCTTACAACTTTTTTTCATAAAACCCAAAGAAAAAAATTTCAAACAGCCCCAAATTTTTCTCATAACCCTTAATATCGATAAAAGTCAAAAAAATACAATAAAATTTCAAAAATGAAGTGATCTTTTTTTAGCGAAATTCTCATTTTTTTCAGGAGTAAAATTCCTAAAAAAATCATGAAAATCATCTATAAAGTAGACTATAACTGAACACACCCAAAAAAATAAAATAAATACAATTCCAAAAAAATCGAATAATACGGATATCTTCACATTACTCGTTAAAACTCGAAAAAAAGCCGGAAAAATTTTTTTGAAAAAAATGACCTTTTTGAGTGGAAACTTGAGCAAAATTCTCAAAAAAATTAGGGTAAAAAAAGTTTTTTTGAACATGAGAATGATTTCAAAATTAACTATGATCGTAAAACCCAGAAAAAAAGAGCTCAAAAAAGATCTCAAAAAATGACTTCTCACAAGTGTTCTCTTAAGCGAATTTCCAACCATTACCAACCAAAATTCATCAAAATCATGATTATTAACCTCGAAGCTAACTATAATCAAAAATATAATCTTAAAAACAAGAAAGAAGGGCTCGAAAATTGATAAAATCTACAAAATCCTTGAAAAATGACCTTTTACAAGTGTTCTCTTAAGCAAATTTCCAATCAATACAAGCCAAAATTCATGAAAAACATGATTAATAACCTAAAATTTATCAATAATCAAAAATTTAACCTCAAAAACAAGAAAGAAGGGGTCGAAAATTAAAAAAATCAACAAAGATCCTCAAAAATGACTTCTTACAAGTGATCTCTTAAGCGAATTTCCAACCATTACCAGGCAAAATTCATCAAATCACGTATTATAATCACATTATTATATCAAAAACTAACGAAAATCAAAAATATAACCTTCAAAACAAAACAGAAGGGCTCGAAAATTGATAAAATCTACAAAACTTCACAAAAACTCTCAAAAATGACCTTTTTAAGTGATTTTTTGAGCAAATTTCCAACCAATAAAAATCAATTTTTCATAAAAATCATGATTGTTATATCAAAAACTAACGAGAATCAAAAATATAACCTTCAAAAACAAGACAGAAGGGGTCGGAAATTTCGGAAAATCTACAAAAAAATTCCTAAAAAAATGACCTTTTAAAATGGATATTTTTAAGTAAATTTTTAACCAACAAAAGCCAAAACTTATGGACATCATGATTATTATTATATCAAAAAAACTAATAAAAAAACAAAAAAAGATCTCATAAAATCAGGAAAAATCAAGAAAATGCAAAAAAATCCTCAAAAAATGACCTTTTACAAGTGATCTCTTAAGCAAATTTCTCAATATCCCGAGCAAAAATTTATGAAAATCATGAATATTATATCAATAACTAACTATAATCAAAATAATATCCATAAAAAAACAAGAAAGAAGGGTGAAAAATTTTTCGGAAAATCAACAAAAAAATCGACAAAAAAACCCTCAAAAAAATTACATTTTTTTAAAATGGATATTTTTAAGTGAATTTTTTTAACTAATAAAAAGCCAAAATTTATGAAAATCATGACTATTATTTCAAAAAAACTAAATAAAAATCAAAAAAATAAAACCTTAATAACCGGAAAAAAAGATCTCATAAAAATCAAGAAAATGCACGAAAAATGCACGAAAATCTCAAAAAAATGACATTTTACAAGTGATCTCTTAAGCAAATTTCTCACTATTCCGAGCAAAAAATTCATGAAAACCATGATTATTATTATAAACACTAACTATAATCAAAATAATAACCCTAGAAACAAGAAAAAATAATTCCGAAAATCAACAAAAATCGACGAAAATGGGTCCATTCGGCACGTAAAAAATCGGCGTAAACGCTTGAAATCGATGAAAAAGTGCCAAAAAACATGAAAACGACAGAAAAAGTGGAAAAACAGAAAGAAGAAAGACCGCCGGAGGGTCGACGTCGTGTTGGCCGCGTGCCAGCCAAAAAGTGCACACAAACAACCGACGAGAGAGCATGGGCGGCAGAAGAGACGCCCGACGGACAGACAGAAATACGAAATGTGTGTGTATGTGTGTGTGTGTGTACGTTTTGTGGGCAGATTGAGGACGTTTTAGTAAAAATTTCGAAAAAAAGGAAAAATTGGGAAAGATCAAGGGATCTACGAAAAAAAAAAGAAAAAGAAAGAAAAGGCTATTTCGGGGAAGTGAAGTGCGCTCCATTGATAATTTTTGATGAAAAACACAAGTTCAAGAATTTTTCAATGAGAAATGGAACAGAATAATGAGGGAAACGATTTTCAAAAGAAAAAACACCGAAATCAATCATCTCATTCGCGCTCTATTGATAATTTTCATTGCAAGCGATAAAATTCGAATTTTAAGCTTCATAAAATACTGGACTATTTACACTTGCAAAAAAATTTCTCAAATCGAAGTTTTAAAGAAGCTTCAAGATTAATCGACTGATGGAATAAAAAAAGTTCTCTTAAATTTTATTTCGAAATACAGGTACAAAAAAACAGGAATTATCAACCTACCAGTCGGGAAAAAGAAAAAAATGCCTCCAATTATTAAAATTTTTTTGGGATATTCGGATTTTTTTAGACAGAAAAACCGGCGCCCTCTTATTTTTTTGAGCGCTCTCTTAATTTCAAAGTTAAAAAATGAAAATTTTCGAGCAAACCTGTGAGACTCCCATAATCTACAGTTCAATTATAGACAAAAAAATAGATACAGTTGAAAAAAACGGTTTGAAAAATTGATTTTTTTCTTCAAACTCGCTATTTTTTTAAATCTTTATTAACTTACTAACATCACCATCTATTCTGAAAGTTCTCAATTATTCAGGTTTTTTTAAATTTCAAACTTCTTTTTTTCCAAATTGATTCGCGAAACCAGGATTTTTATAGAAAATGGATGTTAATACTTGAAAGCGAGAGAGTACTGGTGAACAAGAGTCAGAGAAAAAAAAGAACCGCCGCCCTCTTACTTTCGAACACTTCCTCACTTTCAGAGATAAAAAATAGAGTTTTCAAGAAAAAGCGAAAAAAATCCGTAAATAATTGGACACGTCCAATTATAGAAAAAAATCATTTGAAAAATCGATTTTTTTCCGAAAGTTGATTCCCAATTGCTTATTAATTCATTTTTCCTTTCCTAAAATTACCTTACATTCTGAAAAATTCACAATTAACGGAGAAAATGTTTAGTGGCCACTATAGAGGCTCGCCAATAACTACTTACTAGTTAGAGAGAACACTGAAGTGGCCACTAATTTGACTACTATAGCAGCCACTGAAACGTCAAAACCCTATAGTGGCCACTAAGAATTTTCCCAGATTCAAGTTTTTTTACGAATTTCTTCAGCTTTGCCTTCCTTTTTTTGAATATTTCAAAATTTTTTTCGGTTTTTAATTTCTTTCAAATTTATCTATCATACTCTCGGCTTAATTCTCGATAAAAAAATGATAATGATTTTTTTGGAAAATCAAAAATTAGCTTACTTGTCTCCCGGAAGTCGTGAATCGATTGAAAAAAATCCTCTTGATCCCAAAAAAATCTTGATTTTTTTCTAGTTTTTCGAATTTTTTTCTAATCGCTCCTTAACGAAAAAAATGTCTACAAGTAATTTTTAAAAAAAGAAAAAAAATGCCTTCCTGCCATTTCGTAGCCAAATAACTTGATTGAAAACTTGATTTCACGCGAAAATTTTCACTTAAATTTTATAAAACTTCATAGAAATAAAGGAAAAAGCAACAATTGAAAATCAACAACGGATCGGGCGAAAAAAACAACAGAAAATTTAAAAATTAATCGAATTATCACAAAAATCATATGAAAATAGGAAAAATTATATAGATAATCAGTGCAGAAAAAAACGGATTTTAATTGGATCAATCAAACAAAAAAAAATAAAAGGTTCAGAAATCAACAATTTGAGAAAAGAAGGATATAAAAATCTACTCTTAAAATATGAAATATTCAGAAAAATCAAGGAAAAAAAATCCTAAGAAGAAGACTTGAAACCCCTTAAGCGGCCACTAAAACGTCAAAAACCCTAAAGTGGCCACTAAACATTTTATAACTATTTTGATGAAATTTTTTCGAAAAATAACGATGAAAATGCACAAAAAAACAACAATTTCGACGAGAAAAAAATCTTTTTGAAAAAGCGGTTTTTGTTAAAAAAACGGTTAAAAAAATCACGAGATTTTCATATTTTTCTCGAAATATTCTTCTTCTAGTGGGCCTTAAGGAAAAATAAAAATTTCATTATATAAGCTTTGAAAAAAAGTACCTCATATGAAATAAAAATCAGAAAAAAATGGAACATAAAAAATCAAAAAAATCAACTTTTCAACCGATTTTTCGACGATTAAAACAGGATAAGCAAGAAATCAACGAAAAAAAAAAGCATTTTAATCAAATTTCTATTCAGAATCCTCATCGTCCTCGTCGAAAGTCGTTCGATTCAGCACCGGTTTCACGTCGATCGACTCTTTTCTGCATATTTTCCGTGATCAAATGGAGAAAGCCTTTTTTTTAAATTTTCAATTCAATCCAACACTTTTGTAGGAATTCTTAAAGTTGAAATGATAGAATAACTGATTATAATCGACACGATCGTTCAGAAATATTATTTTACATAAAATCTTGTCAATTTTGCGGCTCGAAAAGCATGAATTTCGTTGAATTTATGCCCGTTTTATTCAAAATTTTTCTCTTTTTTTTTTTTTTTTTCAGTGATTATTCAATATTAGGATCATGTCCAACGCTCTAACCAGATCCCGAAAATTCTTTGAAACCGTAAATATTCATATCAGGGCACCTTGGCATTTGTTTATTCAGAGAATTCCAGAGGTAGAAATGAAATTGAACTAAGTAGCAGAACTTTTCAAAGTTTATAGCAAAAAAATCACCTTCTACTTGAGAATTCCAGAGTGGTCTCTTTAGGGGTTAAGGGAGAAAATCAGTCCCTATAGGGATAAAGTTAAGGTAGTCCCTATCGGGGTTTACGGTCTGACCCCTGAGCCCCTAGAGCTCAAGTGGACCCTATCGGAGTCTTTCAACTTCATTCAAAAAAGCTTATTCATTCAGTTTTTTCCATGGAAATGCTTCTTCGCTTAGAGATCCTAACAATTATCGACTGGCATGTCCCCTACAGGGACCACTTTTTAAGCTTTAGTGGGTCCTATATATGTTGGTAAAATGATCCCTAGAGAAAGCCCCTCTGGTTGCCCCTATAGGGACCACTCTGGAGATCCTAAGTACCTTCAGAAAACCATGAATTCCGATTTTAGGAGTAAAAAAATGGAAAAAATAAATTTCAACACGCTCGACTCATCATTGAAGGTCGAATAATATGTTCCTTTTTGAACCCTCTCTAATTATTCATTACTCAGACTACAATAAATACCTAACTAGCTTGACTTCCGGGTTCTTACCCTTTAATTCTAACACAAATATATAATTAATAAACAGGGTACAATAAAATGAGCCCTAATTCCCGGAAAACAAGTTCTCGGGTACATTTTGAGCAATTTTCCGCGTTCAAACTATGAATTTCATGATATAAACAACTACAACTGCTTTTCTAATTAGTTCTAATCAATCATAATTATAATTTCTATATAATCAGGACGAGGTAAATGAAATGTCTTCACATGTAAACAACAGGAACTGGCAAAAATTTTAGTGGCCACTATAGTAGTCAAATTAGTGGCCACTTAAGGGGTTAAAATCTAGTGGCCACTATAGAGGTCTAAGTGCTACTACTATACCACTAAAAATTTTAGTGGCCACTTTAGGGGTCAATGGATCAACAAAACTGGTCCAATCTGTTTGTTTTAAAATTATCAGAGTTACTGGAAGGAATACCGGATGAAAAATTACTGAAGTGGCCACTCAAACGGAAAATAGTGGCCACTATGGAGGTACTCCCGCAAGGTCTTCCAAAACTTCATGAATTCTCTAAGAAAAAGCGAGAAAAAAGACAGGTTTTGCCTCAAAAATCTTCCTTTTTTCACATTTTTTTTCTAGAGTTTCAAAATGGTTCTTACTGGATAACGGATCTTCTCAATATTCTACCGAAAAATTTTTCCAATTGTAACAAAAATCGGGACGTGTGAAGCTGATCATGCAAAAGATTTAATCAAACTATATTGACTTAAAAGAAATGAAATTTTAATATACAGTAAAAAAATACAAATTAATGTAATTTAAAAGCAATAAATTATACACAATATACAAAGGTTACTATTACAACCTATATTCACTATACTTTGCTACTTGCCCCAGTTAACGAATTAAAAAGTCATTTTCTATCATATAAACTGTGTGAAACGGATGTCACACGGGAGTTTTTCCTCCAAAAACATACTTTTTTCGTTTTTTTTTCGAGTTTCAAATGAACTAAATTTCTGAGGTTTCCGTGTTCAAAGTGATTCCGGGACAGTCGTAATGACCTTTAGAGAGTGAAAAAGATAACTAAATCTTTTTATAGATGCTGTTATCCTTCTCAACCCCTATAGAGACCACTCTGGAATTCCTAAGAATCTACTGGGAAAATTTTTAGTGGCCAATATGGGGTTTCGACGTTCTGGTGGCCACTATAGTAGTCAAATGAGTGGGCACTTCAGGGGTTAAAAATTAGTGGCCACTATAGAGGTCTAAGTGCTACTACTAGACCACTTAGTGGCCACTTTAGGGGTCAATGGATCAGCATAACTGGTCTAATATGTTTGTTTTAAAACTATCAGAATTACTGGAAGGAATACTGGATGAAAAAATACTGAAGTGGCCACTGAAACGGTAAACAGTCGCCACTTTAGAGGTGGGTATAGTGGCCACTTTAGTGTCCTCTCCAAGTAATCCTTGGCGAGCCTCTATAGTGGCCATTAGTGATTTTCCCAGAACTTTTAGAAATTACACGAGTGTGTAATTTCTAAAAGTTCTGGGAAAATTGAAGTTCTAAGAAAACATTTAAAAAATTATAACAAGCTCGCAAAATTTTCTTTTTTTATAACCTCCTCAGTTTAAAGGCAAGTACATTAGAGTTATAGCTGATTCACGGCTGGTTTGAGCCATCAAAAAATGGGTCCTGAAACGATTAAAAAATAGATAGCGCAGACAGGCCACGCCTCTTCCCAAGTTAGCCGTGAATCGGCTATTTTTTAAATAATTCATTTTTGATGCTACGACAAGAGCGGGGAGTACTGTATGCGGAAATGCGTCTTGAGTGCATACACTTTGCGTGTTTATACTTCCGTTGCGTGAAGTCACTGGGTTTTTTTTGCGAGTTTATTTTTCAAATATTTTTTCGAAGAATTTCTAGAATTTTTCGATTTCAACGTAGAATTTTCCCAACTTCTGCATCAACACTTCAATAGGAAACAAGCTACAAACTTCTCCATGATGCCCAAAAATTCGCCCTGCAAATGGCAAAGCGCCTTTTTGATCCGCATCCCCTTGTACTTGACCATTATCGTGTCGCCGATTTCGAGGCTCGATCCTGGAATTTGAAAAAATGAGCCTTACATCATTTTTTGAACTTTTTCCACTGAGAAACTCTCCGACTTTTGTCCCTATCATTTCCCGGAATTTTGATATTTATTTCCGAGAATCAATACTATCGGAAAAACATTGAATACATTCCGGAAACCCGTCAAGAAGAGTTTTTTTTTGTTATACAAAGCTTTTGGAACCTTTTCTAGCCTTTAGTCGTTGTACTATATCAAAGGGATTGGATAAATTTCCTGCTAGCGAATTTTAAAATGTTCTATGACTTTCGGGAAAGATCTGAAATAATTCATCTCATTCCTCAGCCCATATATACTATCAAAAATCAACCTTTTTTGAAACAATCCAAAGGAAAATCATTTACTGAGTGGTTGGGAATTCGCTAAAAAAGTGGTCAGTCTCAGATGTACCAAAAGAAGATTCCAAAATTCTTATATTCGAAGTCTAAAAAATTCAAAGACTTCAAAATATTCAAGGAGGTTTTAAGAGTTTTTTTTGACTTTGAAGTGTCTTTTTTTCAGAAAGGTTCACGAGGCCAAATCCGCAAAGTCTCAAAAAGGACTTTCGGAAAAAAGAGCTTTAAAAGGCCTCAGAGGCGCCTTTTTCTGAAAAGATCCTTTTAAGGAGGCGGAAAAAGTTGTAAAAAAGGAGATTTTGAGCAACTTTCGAAACCTTGTTAGGAACTCAAAAAGGAGCTATAGGCTCTTCTTTTAGGCCTTTTTGAGGTCGTTTGGACCTGTGTTGAGACTTATATAGACTCGATATGGTACATCAGAAACTTTCTTGCTGAAAATTTTCGAAAAAAAAACTAGTTTAATTTGACTGTTTGTTGAAAGTTGCGCTCGCTCTTTATCACCTTTTTTTCAAATTAGTCAGAATTTCAGGAATTGCCTATAGTAACCTGACCTTCCTCTCCAAGGCGAGTGGCTATGAGCTTAAGAAGTCGAAAAAAAAGTTTACCTTTTCCTTGCTCCTTATCCTTCATTCATCCTTCTATTCCACCAATATTTCTTCCCCCTTCCGAACCTTTCAACCGAAGATCGAACTTGTCGTCAACGGCCACATGAACCGTGATTGCGTCCATGATCAACGCCACGATGATGTCCTTGGAAATGTGTCGGACCAAAGAACGGTAAGTATCGCCGATCTTCGGTCTTCAAGTATTTTCAGAATAAAAAGAGGTTGAAGGTTCTGGGAGACCTGAAAACGATCTGCTTGATGACGGCGTCGGTGTGGAGCACGTTTTGATCATCCAGAACACGGGGATATTGGGCGGCGCGGACGTCGCCAATCGCCACGACGACGCCTTGGAGCCTAAAAACAGTTCGAATAATTTTTCTTGTTGTTATAAACTTATTGGCATAAGTAAAACGGAAAAAATTTCTTCAAGGATTTGAAAAAGTTCCGCTAAAAGCTTCAAAAAAAAAATTACCGAAAAAGTGGTCGCCATAGGGGTTAGTAGATATATAGCGCTCTCTGAAGGGGTAAAACTTAGGTGGTCGCTACTATATCGCATCCGACCCAAAACTGCTTGCGCTTAGGACTATCCAAGATAATTAAGTCAATCATCCTCTTGACCGCGACAGTTTGAGTCATTCCAAATGCGTCCAGAAATTCTTAGGCCAAGCTTACTCAGGAAATCCAGAGAGGCCCCTATAGGGGTAAGAGAGTAAAAAGCCCCTATATGAGCCGAAAAAGTGGTCCCTATAGGGGTAACACTGAGGTGGTCGTATTAAGGGTTTACGGTCTGACTCCTGAGCCCCTAAGTGGACCCTATAGGGGTCTCTCAATTTCATTCAAAAAACGCTTATTTGTTCAGTTTTTCCCATGAAAATTGTTCTCCGCTAAGAGTTCATAACCATTATCGACTATCATGTCCCCTCTAGGTACCCCTTTTGCCATCTTTAGCGGCCCTATAGTGGTTAGTGGAGTGGTCCCTAGAGGGGTCCTGAGGTAGGAGAATTATATATCAGTATTATATCAATACAACCAACAGACGAAAAATTAGACGGAATTTTCTTTCTTCCCTAAGGTGGAGCACTCGGGAGTTCCTAAAGCTTTTCCAAAAAAAAAAACTTTTTTCAACTCGAATCAGTCAATTCATGGCGAAGAGAGGCGGAGAAGTGGCTAGGGTAAAACAATGCCAAAAGTTCTACCAGACGTGCTTTCACGAGTTGATACGGGCACACCCGCTGAGAGCCCGTGTTAGTACGGCTGGGCCACCCTCATCAGCATGGAAGTTATAGCTGATTCACGGCTGGCCATCGAAAAAATGGTCCTGACACGATAATGCACGAGATAGCGCCTGGCTCGTGGAGAGCGCAGACCAGACACGCCCCCTTAGCGTCCCAAGATGGCCGTGAATCAGCTATATATATCAGTATTATATCAATACAGGATACCGGTCGAACAACCAACAGACGGAAATTTAGAGGGAGTTTCGTGTAAAGTCTTCATTCGATTTATGAGACTTCCACCTAGAGCACGGTCTCCGGGCTCCAGCACAACATCAGCTACATCCTGAGCTCGTCAAGGCGCAACTGGATGACCTAGGCGCAAAAGACCATGCTTTCAACTTGATCAACTACACGTTTTGACTTCTAGTTCGCCAAAGGCGGCTCTTCGTTATATAGTCTGTTCAGGTTTTAAATCTCAAGTGCAATGACGTCATTCAAAAACACTCTGTGGATGGCTCGCTCTCTGATTGGTTTATCGCACCATTATGGGCGGAGCTTGAGCGACCACTTGACATTCAAAATCTGAACAGACTATAGCTTTCAAAGTTCTTGTTCGCCGCCTAGTCGATTCCACCTAACTAAGAAACCAATAAACATTGATTGATTGCTTGAATCTTCCCTTTTCAATCCCCCTCCTTTTTTCCAAAACTCACTCTCGCCGATACCGTCCCAAAGTGCTGTTGGCGATGAACTGAAATGCGTGATTTGAAGCGACGGCACCGGCCATGTGATAGGGCAACGAGACGTGTCTCTGTTGGAGCTTCACGCAGAGGCCGCATTTCGGGTCTTCCCGAATCCGTCGGAGGCCTTCCTCGTACGTCAGGATTTGGTTCTGAATAAGTTATCTTCGAATAAGATCTTCAAAAAAATTTTTCTCGTTCAGTTTTTTTCGAAAAAAATAATTCATCTTTCAAAAACCAATCAATTTTTCAAATATTGAAAATTTTTCCTCTGTTTCTGTTTTTTTAAATTAATATCGAGGAGATCATCAACTTTTTCTTCACACCCTCTTCTAGTTCAAAAAAACCTATTGAATTTCGAGTTGTCAACGTTTTTTAGAAAAAAACAACTGAGAAAAATCCAACTTTTTCACCGCGTTTCAATTTCAAATTCTTCAATAAAAAAACTCGTAAAACTTTTTCCAAACAAAATTCGAGAAAATATAATTTTTTTACTCTCTTGCGAATGCTTCATTAAAAAAACTGGATTCCTCGAGTTTTGGAACCTTTTTTTCTGATAAAACCCTCAAAAGTTCATTTAGAACATTTTTTTCTTGCTCAAATTCAAGTACCCTATTTTTAATACTTGGTATCAAAATTTTTTTGGAAAATTGAATTTTTTTCGCTGACTTTTTCCATCAAAACTTTCACTTGAAAATCGATTTTTTTCCATTTTTTTAAAACCGCTTTTTTTCCTGGAAAAAAACCAAAAAAATTTAAATTTTTCCATCGGTCTTTCCTTTCAAACCCGCACTGAAAATTTTGATTTCAAACATTTCTAAAAAAATATTTTTTTCCCAAGTACCTCAGCATATTTCTTGAGGGCGGTGCTCAGGTTGACGCCGAGGCTTCTCGTGTGGGGTCCGTCCTTTTTCCGCCTTTTTTCATCACCATTCGAAGGTTCTGCTTCGTTTCCTTCCGCTTCTTGGGCAATTTCCACCGATTCTTCGTTGAAAATGGCTGTCGGCTCTTTGAAAGGTTCTGTGTAGGAAAAATCTGTATTTGTTTCTTACCAAAAAAAAACCCTATTTTCATAAACAATGTCGGAAAAGATGGAAAAACGCTCCACAAATGCTCCTGTTTTGCTGCCTCTCCCTTTTCCAGCCTTTAAACCCCTAGAAAACAAATGAAAGATTTGAAAAAGGGACTCCTTTTGCTGCCTTTTTTGAGCCTTTTAGCGGCCATTATCCCCCTTTCCGACTTTGTCCGAGTTTGACATTTTTTTAAAGAAAAACTGGAAAATTCGCAAATTCTTTCAGGAATTTTCAACAAACCTTAACAAATCAATTAACGCAAAATCCTAAATTGTGAAGATTTCGGACCAATTTTCTTGTATTTTCCGTAAAACTCTCCAATTTTTCATTAGAATGAAGTTTCCTTTGACTTTTCACTTCAAGAAAAATCACTTTTTAAGAGTTATTTTTGAACTTTTGAAAATCGTTCAACGATTTTCCAGAACCCCAATGATCAACTTAACGTAAAATCGTGAAATTTCACAGTTTTGACCAAAATTTTCATTTACTTTTCAAAAATAAACACTTTTTTTCCACACAAAAAGACGAAGAAAAACCTGGAATTCTCTGTTCCGCATCGCTCATATCCGAGACGATCTCACTTTTCACATGTCTTTCTTTGTCCTTCTTCTCCTGAAATGATGCGAACTCAATGCCCTGTTCAAAATGATTTCGCGAAATGCAAAATATTCGACAGAGAAAAGAAAAAGATAACTAAATTTGGGAGAGTCAGAGATCATTTTGAACACGACATAAGAAATCAATGAAGTTCCAGAAATTTTCAGCTTTCACATTTTTTCATATTTCTTTTTCAAAGTTTCCAACGATCAAGGGCTTTTTTTCAATATTCGCAAAGTTCCGAGATTTTTTTTCGTCGAACTTATGGATCTAGCTTCAACTGGAACTTTTTTTTGTGGAAACTTCAAAAAAAATGATAGGAGAAAAACTGGAAAAGCTTCTTTTTTCGAATAGATATAACGCCGTGTTCGAAGTGATTGCAAGGAAATTCAATATTGTCTCTGGATCTCCAAAATATAGTTGAATAAGAAGGTGATAGTTACCAAAAAAATTCTTTAATTAAATGTTCTTCTATCTCTTTCCCTTAAAATCCATGATCAAGAATTCTTGTTTAGGCTTTTTTATAACCACCGATAAACTTGATGAAGTTCTTACGATAAAGAGACATTTATAGAGTTCTTTCTAAACCATTTAAGACTTCTACGCTTCAAAAACTTTCCGTAAGGTTTTCTGAACAGATTCTCAAAATTTTCAAGTTACGGGCCCTTGAAAAATTTCAAAAATTTAATATATTAATGGTAATGGCTCTCTTTTTCTATTGAAACACCATAATGCAATTTTTTTTTTTTGCGTGTTCGAAGTAATTCCCGCGGAAATTTCAAATTATCTCTGACCCTCCAAAAACTAGTTATATTTTTCTTCGCCTGACGGGTATTTTAAATTTCGAGGAATCACTCGGAAATTCAATCTCGCCCCTCATTTCCCACCAAAATTCACCTTCTTCTTCCGTTTTTTCTCCGTCGCCTCGCTGCGATCGCTCTCCTCTGCCGTGATATCCGATACGTTATCATAGGTGCCAGGTTTCTTCAAAAGTTATCCTTTCAATGGATTTATTTATTCGAGATCTTACAATATCGACGATCCGCCGCTTATAAGTGTCTTTGATGTGTTCCAATTCGTCGGCGGGCAGAAGCGAGATCTTCTGAAGGAATAATTTTCAGAATATGCAATTTTTCACTTTCCACCCATCAAAGTCCGTCTATTTTTCCCTTCGAAAGCTTATCTTTGAAATTCAATACTAATTACTTTCTTTTTTTCTGATTTTCTAATTGTCCCTTTGATATTTATGCATGATATTTATGAACTTCAACATATAAATTTTACGAAATTGAGGCTTGCGAAAAAATAAACTTGAAAAACAAAAAAACAAATAACCAGAAAAACCTAGAAAATTGTTCAACTTTTTTGAAAAAAATTCAAAAAAAGTGAATTTTTGAAGAAAAACCCCCAAAATAATCAAGATCTCCTTCAAAAAGTTTTGTGGAAAAAAATACTAGGTGACGAAAAAAAAAAAAGACGAGAAAAATTCACAAAAATTATTCAATTTAAGAACTGTCAAGTAAAGAAAAATTGGATTTTTGAAATTTTGAAATTCAATATCGATTACTTTTCTTTTTTTCTGACATCTCTTGACTCATTATCAAATTTAAATTTTTTTTCAACTTTAACATCAAAAAAACTTCACGAAAATTGACAATATACCCTAAAGTTTACGAAGATCTCCGTCAAAGGTTCGTGGAAAAAAAGCGAGTTGAGAAAAAAATAAATAAAAAAATCTGAAAAAAACTATTCGAGTGGAAGCTTTTTAAAAAAATAAGAAAATGTTAGATTTCGAACTTCTAAAACGATAAAAATTCTTTTTCCTCATTTCTCCTGACCTATTATAAAATAAAAAAATTTTGATTTTTCAACACCGAAAATTTGCGAGAAATACCCTTAAATTAATAAATGATCCTTGTTAAAAAAACTCCATAAAAAAATCTATCCAAATTTAGAAATTCTGTTTAATACTGCCCTAGATTCAGTATAATAACCTCAATATTTCTATAAAAAAAATAAAAAAAATACCAACCGTATTATCCTCCGGCTCAATCTTCGTCAGTTTCCGTTTGCCCATCTTCCATATTCATTATTTTTCTTCTCTTGGAACTTTTTTCAAAGAAACCTTTGGAGAGAAACCAGTGAACAACATGAAAAAAAATGAAAAAGGCTGATTTTTATTAAACTGGGAATGAGAGAAAAGGCACGTTGAACGTTCAGAAACGAAAAAAAAAAATACAAGAGAAAGAGAACGAAATGTACAAACATAACAAGTATGAACATTTGAATTATTACAATTTTTCGATGATTTCAAAGCCGCAACGGGATATTCGGCCACATTGGAGGTAGGTACCGTTCGTACTCCTGGAAACGAAAAAAATCATTATTTTTCAAGCTATTCTATTTTGAACTTTCAGGTATTGAATCAAAAGAAAAAGCTTCAGAAACTTGAAAATTGACGCGGAAAATGACGATTCAATCAAGATTTCTTGAAATTCATGCCATATCCAAGAAAAAAATCTTTTTCATTCTGAATCAGCTCATTCAAGTACATTTTTCTCGATCTTATGAAGTTTTATACTTTGTTTTTTTCGAAAAAGAAAAGTCATAAAAAAATTTAATTTTTATCATGAGTAAACTTTTTCAACGATAGCTGTACCGTATAACGATTAGAAAAAAATTGAAGGATTTACAAAATTATAAAAAAAGCGTTCACTTTCGTTGTCAGTTTGATGAACTCTCGTAAAAATCCTTTTTCTTTTTTCAAAATATGTAAATATTTTTGTCTAGTCAGTTGATAATCAAACTTTTGCTCAGTTTTGATTCACATTTTGAAAAATCAGTCGCGAATCATCTTAAAAAGAAACACGTACTTTCACGGAACTTTGATTGAAGCCTTGACAGGCGTTTCTTATTGATTCTTTAAAAAGAAGAAAGAACAACTGTGAACAAACTTCACACAAATGCTCCTTAAATTTCGACAAAAACCACGTCTTTTCAGTATTTTCTACCTTGATAATTCTGAAATTCACAAATCTCTCACCTGTTCAAAGCGCATATCCAGGACGGTTTGCATGGCGAGGATCCTTTCCGCGGCTTCTCCGTAGAGCTCTCTTGCCTCGGCTCTTCGAGCCTCCATCGCCGCGTTTTCATCGACAAATTCGAGGGTTCGACGTTCGATTCCCCTCACACCGACTGGAAAGGAATCAATTGGAAAATGGGAAAAGCTAAAGTGGGTCCTATTGGGAAAAAAAAAACCCTACAGGGTTATAGTAAAGGATCTCCTTTGAAGCTCCCTATAGAACCCTTTAAAGGACCAAACGAGTGTTTCTCAGAAAGAGGCTGGTATAAATTCATGGAAAAAACAATTTTTTGGTCTTTTTGCACTGGGAAACGCTGAAGTGAGCCCTTAAGGGAAAAAATAATTTTTTGGTCTTTTTTCACTGGGAAACGCTGAAGGGGGTCCTTAAGGGAGTTCGTGATTTAGTGGGCACTATTGGGAGAGTATTAGGACCTCCTAAAGGGAGAAACTTAGAAGACCCCTATAGGAGGAAAATTTCCATTTTTATCCCCTAGAATCGTTGAATCGTATCCCGGTAATTAGATACGCAGGTGCCCACCGGCCTACCGTAACCCGGCTACAGTAACAGGAAATGGCTCGAAAAGTTGGGTCCGCATTTCTAATAATAGGTTATCACACTGGATGAAGTTTCATCAAAGTCAAAAAATGTTTTTTTTTTGTAACGGTTTTTTTCTGAGGATTACAGAAACTGCGTGTTCATTAAAAATATTCAAAATTCAAAGTTAAACTGACAAGCGAACAGTGGAACAAAAAAATCACTTTTTGTTTTTCAAACTTTAATAAGGCATGCTATAAAGTACGGGCGTTTACAAAATCAATTTCTTTTTGTGCCACACTGCAAATTAATAAAATACGGGCGTTTCTTAATCTTATTCCTTTTACCTTTTCTGGCACTTTTTCACAAATTTTGTATTTTTTTCCCTATCTTTCCTTTTGAAGAAAACTATTCGAGAAAGGACTACGACGAATTTTATGAGCTTATTATGATAAAATTTTTCTTCAATTACTCCAACAACTTAGGCTTCTCATCAGCCTTTGAAAACGATTTCATACAGTTCATGAATCTGTATCAAACCGGAAACAACATGGAAGAAATTGGCTAGGTGACAAAATAAATCTTGAAAGGTGGTTTATAAAAGGTACTATCAAAAATACGAAAAAAAGAAACCCTTATACGGATCAGAAAGCTATCAAAAAAATTAGAGTTTCGTTTAATTTCAAAAATAATGAAAATTCAAAAAACGCGCTTATTTTATTAATTTGCAGTGGAGCACAAATAAAGCGGTCGCATTTCGTAAACGTCCGTACTTTATAGAATGCCCTTGAATAAGATTATCAGGTATCCGAACCAAGAAGAATACTAATTATTATTATCTAAGTTAAAACTAAAATTCTTGTCTGGAAACAGTAAGTTGTGATAAATGCAAAGCACTATTTTCAGAGACTCGGACCTTGGTAACGCGAATCGGGCGTGTCGGGGCATTTCTAATGACCACTTTAGTATCCTCAGAACTCGTAAGTGATCCCTAGAAACGTCCGGAGCACGTCCGTTTCGCGTTACCAATGTCCGAATGGGTGCTTTGCAACTTTAGGTTTATCACAACTTACTGTTTCCATTCCAGAATTTTAGTTTCAACTTATGGAATAATAAATTAGTACTGTTCCTGGATTGGTTAACTGATAATAAAATTTAAGTTTCAAAAAAACAAAAAGTGATTTTTTTACTTTTCCCTTGTCAGTGCAACTTTGAACTTTGAATATAGATAATGTTTAATGTTTAAAAAAAATTATTTAACACGCAGGAATTCTCAAAAACAACCGGTACGAGAAAAAAAAAATTTTTGTTGCGCGTTACCAATTTCCGAGAGGCCTTAACGTGTTTTCGTCGGAAAACTATAGTCTGTTCAGATTTTGAATGTCAAGTCGTCGCTCAAGCTCCGCCCCTAACGGTGCGATAAACCAATCAGAGAGCGAGCCATTCACAGAGTGTTTTTGAATGACGTCATTGCACTTGACATTAAAAATATGAACAGACTATATGACTAATTGTGAAATGTAAACTTTCATCAGGTGTAGAAATCCTAAAGAAACGAAATCCTCTTTTGCCGAATTCCTACCAGCCACTTCCTGAAAACTCCCTATAGTTGGTCCTACATGACCACTTAAGGGGTCCTTTAGTATACCTCCGTATGGAGGGTTTTTTCTCCCTATAGGGCCCACTTAAGCTTTTTCCCAGTCACCGACATAAAAAATTCCTGATAAACAAATTATTCTGATTCAAAGCAACAACACGAAAAATGAACTTTAAACTGAAAAATGGTAAGGCAAATTCCAATAATTTTTCTGCCTCAAAAAGAGAAGTGCTTTGAATTTTTGAAAAAAACAGTCATAAATTAAGCTATTTCGTACTGAAATCATTTTAAAGTCATGATTAAAAATAAATTACACAGACAAAGTCGGAAAGGGTGGAAAAGGCGCCTTTTTGCGCCATTTCATCGGCTTTCATGTACCCGTTTTGCTCCCCTTTTCCAAAAAGTCCTCGCTAGATTTTTTCAATTTTTTTATTCAATTCAATGTAAGGCATGTATTACCTAATGAATGGAAGATGCACTGAATAAAAGGAGAGAAATGAAGAAAAATATACGGTTTGAAACGTATTTAGGCGGGTTTCTAGTCTTGATATGATATGTTAAAAATGACTGAAACGTGTTTTTAGAGATTTAAAGGTGTTAAAATCGAGGGTTTAGGGATTTCTTGATTCTCAAACTGGTTCAAAGTAAGGAGAAGCACTGTTTCTAACCGTATTTGTAAGTTTCTCCAAAGGCAAAGTTGGAAAATCTGGAAAAAGGCGCGATATAAATGTTCCTGTTTTACTGCCTTTTTAGGCTATTTCATCAGCTGTTATGCACCATTTTTGTTGCCTCTCGCTTTTCCACCATTTCTTGAGCATTTAAAATCCTAGAAAAAAAAAATGGAAGGTTTGAAAAAGAGACTCTTTTTGCTGCCTTTTTTGAGCCTTTTAGCGGCCATTATCCCCCTTCCCGAGTTTGAGTTTTTTGAAGAAAAACTGGAAAATTCGCAAATTCTTTCAGGAATTTTCAACAAACCTTAACAAATCAATTAACGCAAAATCCTAAATTGTGAAGATTTCGGACCAATTTTCTTGTATTTTCCGTAAAACTCTCCAATTTTTTTCATTAGAATGAAGTTTCCTTTGACTTTTCACTTTCAAGAAAAATCACTTTTTAAGAGTTATTTTTGAACTTTTGAAAATCGTTCAACGATTTTCCAGAACCCCAATGATCAACTTAACGTAAAATCGTGAATTTTCACAGTTTTGACCAAAATGCACCATGTACTTTTGGAAAATAAAGACTCTTTTCCATCCAAAATAAAAAGGGGCCCTTTTTGCTCCCTTTCTGCAACCTTTTTTGAGCCTTTCAGCGACCATTATCCGCCATTCCAAGTACTAATTCAAATAATTTTCCTCGAAAACCAACTCTTATCGGCCATCACGTAGTCGTCTTCCTCCACACTCAGCCACTTTTTCTGCTCCTTTTCCCGTTTTTTCTCTTCTAATAATCGATCTCCTGGAATTTGTTCTCAACTTTTTGATTTTGTGACAGAAAACCAACGTTCCAATCGATGAGCCATGGTCTTTTCGAAAAAAGCCTTCATTTCATCGGTCATCTCCTCGACTTCCTCCTGGACTTCTTCCTCAACGTCGGCGACCTGAAAAATGTTTTTGCTTTTTTCCTTGTCAAAATTTACTAGGAGAAACTTGTGCTAGCTTTATGAAATACGAAGGAAATTGAAGGAAGTGAACAAGAACCATTATACAGGGACCAAACTATAAGACCCCCTTACTTTTTTGATTGAAATCAAACTTTAACCCAGAATCTCTTCCAAAATCAGAATAATTTTTTTCTGTTCATAACAACTTTGAGCAACCTTCAGCTACGGTTAAGCTTCTTTTCAATTTGAGAAATCTACGAAATTTCCATGAAAATTTGAATTTTTGATTATTTGGAAACCTTGGGCTTTCTGGCTATTTTTTTAGATGATTTGAAGGCTAGACACTTGAGAATGATTTTATAGCAAAAAAAATCAGATCAAAACGTTCAAAAGGACTTGATAAAAAAATGACTAGTTGATGATCAAAACCGTCATTCTATCGGGTTGAGATTGAAATTTGGAAAAAAAGCAAGGGGGGTCTTATAGTTTTGTCCCGCACTGTATTTTTTTTGAACGAAGTGCTCAATTAGATTCTAAAGGTTTTATTTATTATTCCTTGTTAATGAAAATAACTATTGTTTTTTTATATTTTTTTCAAAGTTTTTTTCAAAGTCTCCACCATGAGACTGATCCACATCAAAAATCGAGCATCTGTTATTTATTTTTCAAAATTTAAATGTATTGGCACGAAAATACAAAGACCGTCCCTTTTTTCCTTCTCGGGCAAAGTCGCAATGACCGCTAAAAAGAAGAGGTTCAAAAAAGGCCTCAGAAAGGCTCAAAAAAGGTCGCAAAAAGAGTCCTTTTATTTTTCTTGGATTTTAAAGACTCAGCAAAAATGGTGCATAACAGTTGATGAAATGGCGAAAAAGGCAGCAAAAAAGGAACATTTCTATGAAGCCTTTTCCACCTTTTCCTAAGTTTAAAAAACCAATTATTCCCAGAAAAACCTTAAAATCAACGTACATCGGCCCCAATATAGGTAATCGCAGCTCTCGCCACGTTTCCCAACGTTTCGCCGACCACCGACGCCGCTTCTTCTATCCGTTTCTCAGCTTCTTTTTCGCCTTGGAAGGTATTCTTCAAGATTCCCATTTCCAAACGAAACTACATGTTTCTGAACACCTTTTTGAGCTTGGATGATCGTCTCCGACGTGGTTTTCGCTTCTTCGGACTATCCGTTTGGGACGTTGGAGGCGCAAGGGACATTGCCTTTTGCGAATTCACCGCGTGCAATTTCAACCATTTATTGCAGACGGCGTAGTGTTCCCAATAACGGGCGAAACGAGGGTCCGAGGCCCATGATATTGTCTGCTCCATCAATCTGAAAATAAGAAATAGGATTTTCTCGCTTTTACGAACGAAAAATCGCGAGAGAAAACGAAAACAGTGAAAATCCAACGAAAAAAATAAATAAAAGGGCTAATCTTCATCTTGAAACATTTATCGCAGGAGAATTATTCAAAGCTTGTTCCAAAATTCTTGGCAACTATTATTTCTACAGTTGCAATATTGAAGAAAAAAAAACACTGAAAAAGGCTTTTTTATAGCGAAACCATAATGAAATTTGTTTATGTTCCCTGAAGTTCCCTAGAAAAAATTTTAGAACAGAGTTTAATCAATAAAAAAGACATTTGACAGGAAAAAAACATAACAAATTCAAAGTCAAACAAACAAAAAGAAAACAATAATCAAGATAATTTCGGTGTTTAAACTTTTTATTTTTTTACTGCGATTATATTCATATCCATCTTATCAATGAATTTTAAAAGACAAAGATCGAGAAAACATTCGAAAAATTAAAGAAAACATGCAAAATTAAGATTTTGAAAATTTTCGGAAAAAAAAACTTCCTTCGCGGTGGCGCAGACTTGCTCCAACAATGAGCGTTTTTCAGAAGCTTGGGACGTTGAAAATTATTCTCATTTCACTTAGAAACGAAGTAGATAGTTGAAAAAGCGTGAGTAGTTTTTTAAAAAGAAGGACAAACTAAGAAAAAAAGATGAGACAAATAAACAGGGCGTTACAAGTTTCAAAGAGACATTGTAAAAAAATCCCATTTTTTTGCGAAAATTAGAAGGATTTATGACAAAGATCACTTTTTAATTTTCATAAAAACCCATCTGATTTCGTATTCAGAAAACTCCAAGGTTTTTAAAAATTAGACCGCGGAAAGTATTTTTTAAGCGGAAAATTCGCATACTTCCCTTCATTTATTTCACATAAATCTTGATTTTTCTTGTTAGGTAAGAGTTAAAATTGACAAGTTTCGTTAGGTAAATTCAATTTGAAGATCTTGAACTCCCACTTTTTTTCCTAAGCTCAACGCCATTTAAAGTTCATTACCCCACAGCTCCAAGTCAGCTTCCCACCAACTTTTCAAAGTACCCATTCCTCCTTCCACACTATAAGGGGAAAAACAATGAAATTGAAGCTTTCGTCCTTTCTTCCAGTTGTTGGAATCGATAGAAGCCCAAAAAAAAGGAGGGGAAAGAACACAGCCGCTCTTCTCGTCCTTTAATGGAATCCATTGCGGCCGGACGTCGACGCCTTCCGTTCAACTGGGAGCCCTTCACGGTTTCGCGCCGATTTTTACTTATTTCGAATTATTTTGACGCCAGTACACTTTCTTTACAATTCTCAGTTGTTCTTAAACTTGAGAAAAAGGTCTTGTAGAGACCAACTGACACATAACCATTGCTTTTTTTGAAAAACCTCACAAGGGATGACATTTCCTCTTTTGCGATCCCTGAAAATTGACCAGAACACTTTTAAAGGTACCAGAAGAAGCTTCTAGAAGTCTCAACCTGAATAACTTCCTCATTTTTGAGAACAGACGCAATAAAATCAGAAAAAAACCCTCAAATCTCACAATTTATGATGGCTATTTTGGGGCTTTAAGCCTTCATTTCTCAAAGACTAGGAAGTTTTGCAGGTTGACACGTTTTAGGGAACATTTCTATGGAGCCTTTTTTTCCAGCCTTTCCGACTTTGCCTTCTTTGAAGAAGAAGATCAAAAATTCAATTATTTTTCAAGCATTTTCACAAAAGGTCTCTTCAAAAAAATTCCATTTTCAGTGATTTATGTTGAAACAAATTTTTATGAATTGAAATCAACAATAGAGTTTTTATATATTTAGAGAAAAAAATTATGCTCGAAACGGTTTGAATAGTTTATCCGTCTCTTAAGTCGTTTTTGAAACTTATTGTATCCGGGAATAAATCAGAAAGATCGAACTTTAAAATGAAAAACTTCGAAACGTGAAACTTTTTCCTTTTTTTTAATTCTTCACAAGGGAAGTCATTTTACATTACGGTTAGGGATTTTTTCCTGAAAATCGGTCAGAACGCTCTTTGATTTACCAGAAGACGATTCTAAAAGTCTCAGTCTGCACAACTTTCTCACTATTGAGAAAAGACGCCTCAAAGTTAAAGAAAATCTTCAAAACCATAAAAAGAGGCTATTTTGGGGCTTTAAGCCTTCATTTCTCAAAAACTAGGTTGTGCAGTTTGAGACATTTAGGGTCATTATTTGGTACATCAAGAAGGGTTTTGGCCAATTTTCAGAAAAATCCCAGCCGCATGGTAAAATGACCTACTTTGTCAGCTACCTAGGACGTTTGAAAGACTCATTTTTTTCGTCAGATTCCTAAAAGTCTGCTGAAAAAAAAATTTAAGCTTTTAAACAGCCCAGATTACTGCTAACTCGTTATAATCAAAGTAGGAAATGAAGCAAACTGAAAGAAGAAATAAAAACTTCAGCCCCCCCGTCTTCCCTTGAAACGAGATAATGAATCGACCAGAAAACAAAATTTGAGTTTTTTCTGCTCTTTTAACTTATTTACATACTCCTATGGCTTCTAATTACAAAATTTTCGTTCTTCTCATCTTCCTTAATGACCTTAATAATATGAAAAACGGGATTTTATCCGTTTTTTTTTGAAGTGGGCGTGGCTCTGCGGTCCCTACCTTGCCAAAAAAAATTCAAACCATGCCTGATCTCGAATTTCGCCATAAAGATGACCTCTCAACTGAACAAAACCCATTTTTCATGCTCTTATAAGCCTTCAAACCAGTGCCTAGGAAAGATAGATAGATGGAATAGAAGACGAGTCGAATTGAACCAATTCATCATGGCGGGAAAAACGCCTCTAGGGACGTATTATTCGCTGTTGCCGCACACACGCATTTTCTTCTGGAATTTTCTTTTTTTTTGGAAATTCCCTTTTAAACAGTGGTCGCAGGTGGAATGGCTTAAAGCTTGCGAAAGTCGTTTCAAGTCGGGCGCGCCTTGAAGGAGCCATTTTTACGTGTGATCATGAAGAAGTTTGGTTGTTCTATCTATTTTTCCCTTTCTCATTGAAAATTTCCCTCTTTTAAACAGTGGTCGCAGGTGGAATGGATCGAAAGCTTGCGAAAAGCCGTTTCAAGTCGGGCGCGTTTTTAAAAGAGCCATTCCACGTGTGACTATCAATATATTGAGTAACATTACTTTATTTTTAATCTTTCTTTCAAATTTTTGCTTTTTCGAAAATCCCCGCTTGAGCTGTGGTCGCAGGTGGAATGGATTAAAGCTTTGCGAAAGCCGTTTCAAGTCGGGCGCG